CTGAAAGGTGCTCATTGGAGGACAATACAAGCAACAAGAGTTGGAAGACTGGCAATGAAAATTCATTGGCCAAAGGCGCGAGCGATGTACAAGACCAAATGGTACTGACATCACAGTCAGTTTGTAGTAGGTCGCAACACAACTTAGCATTGACATGCGCGGGGAGTTCTGCAAACATGAGTGATATTGCAAAGTCTTTATGATTGATGATTACCTGCATCACTGTCTCTTTCATTACATCACTGTGAAGACCCCAAATGTCGCTATCTCGGGATCCAAGAGAGTCCTTCATTTCTTTGATTGCTAAACGAAAGAGCTCCTCTATGTTTGTGGATCGATACTGCGTTTGCAAGATTGTGAACATCACGGATTCGGAATAAAACAGTTTATGCGAGATGACCTCTTTACCAAATACCAAAGAAGAGGCCAAAGGATGGAGTTTTGAGTTCCCCCCGGCATCTGTGGCTTCGGCTATCATTGAGATGGTATCTGCAAACAGAAGGATGCGATGATAGATCACTTTGATGAGGAACCTTCTTAGGCGAGCACAATCGGAGGAATCCAAAATCCCGGCAGACTTGAATGCTGCTTTAGTTTGGAAGACCCTATTTCTTTTTTCCATGGCATTCATGGTGATTTTAGTGAGTTTTGAAAATGCACAGTCCTGGCGCTCTTCAAGTTGGTCGGCTGATGCATACCAGGATTGAAGTAGTACTTGTAATGTTGAAGCCGCGTCCAGCTCGGGGGAAAAGTGTTCGGGAGGGACACTCAAGTTCCCAGGCCCGATGTCTCTGCAATAATCGGTGATATCGTCAGCAGTTGGGGGGAGCGAATCCCCCGCGAGAAGGCGGTTCAAGTTCTGCACAAACAGCTCTGCGGAGTAAGCTTGATTGCGGCGAGGAGCAGGGAGCAGGACTTTCAAAGGAGACTCGGCAGTGTCCTTAGTGAAGATGTATCTTTCGAGGTCGGGGTCGTCCAGCTTGATTTGGTTGCTGGCGGCTGCACCAGCCACATTCGTGTCGATGGACAGATTGATAAACTCCCAAAGAGGACGAAAGTCATAAGAGTCCGGTTCGCGGGAAGCAAGATCCTGGTATGCGGAGATGATGAGGTTGAAGAGCTCGTAGGATGCCGAGATGCGGTTGGGGCTGGAGCCCGGGAGAAAATTCACAAGCAAATAATGGTGCTGGAGCAAGTGGCCAACGTAGTGTAGCGTGTCCAAGTAGAAGATGATGACCTTGTCTTCATTTTTCAACACATACCTGAGGAACGCCCTGAAGAAGAGAGTGAGGTTGTCGGTGACGACGTAGAACTGGTAGATCCTCGCGATAGCGGAGGGCGATAAGTGGATGAGCTTCGGGGACTGGGAGATGGAGGACTTGATCTGCGAGGTGAGCCAGTTGGCGAGAAGGAACTTGACGCCGACGCTGAACAGAAGGATTTCCGCGAGGAAGGCGTCGAAGTCGTGCGGGAAGTGGCCGGAGAGCAAGCCGTGCAAGACGTGGGACCTGGAGACTTCCATGCCGCGAGCGTAATTGGACGAGATCTTCTCGCCCTCGGGGGTCCACTTGGAGAGGATCAGGTAGTGCTGCTTGTTGTTCAAGACGGGCAAGTTGGCGAGCACGGATAGATGGAAGGAGATGTGCGGGTCGGTCTGGGTGGCGGTGCCGAGCTCGCTCTCGCGGGACGAGATGTAGAAGATGCCGCAGGCGATGATCTTGCGGAGGTAGGCGGAGATGGCGATGATCCGCAACAGGCAGAGCTCGTTGACCAAGACGGCGAGGCTGTGCATGCAGAGCGCGGCGCGGGGCACGCGGGCCAAGGCGAAGATGCTGTCGAGGAGCTCGCCCTCGAACTCGGCCTTGAGCGTGGCGCTGCCGCGGGCGGTCAAGGGCTGCAACACGCTCTTCTTGATGTAGTTGCACAAGACCAAGACGCGCTCCGCCAGCGGCCGCGAGCCGCGGCACGCGGAGGCGCCCCAGCGCACGGCGAGGCGCACGTGCGTGTGCCACCTGGCGGGCTCGGCGGCCGGCGGCGTCGGGCGGAGCGCCGCGGCGAGCGGGCCGCGCAAGTCCATGCGGTCGAGCAGGCCGATGAACGCGAGCGTGTCGTCGGGCGGGCGGCCACGCGGCGCCGCGCCACGGGGGCCCGTGGCGCTGTAGCGCATGTTCAACAGGAGGCTCTCGTTGCGGTAGTCCACGAGGCGGAACACGGCCTCGAGGCGGCGGCGCGCGGCGCCGGGCGGCGTGGTCTGCGCCAACACGCGAAAGAGCAGCGGGCCCACCAGCAGCCACGCGGCCGGCAAGATGAACGCGCTGGAACGCTGGCGGAACAAGCGCGCCACGCAGCCGGCCACCAGGCCGAGGATGCTGTCGCGGAGGGCGGCCGGCAACGCGCCGGGCAGCGCGCCGCCGCCCGGGCCCGCCGCGGCCGGCACGCGCTCCACCTCCACGTGCGTCCAGAGAAGCAGCTCCGCGTGCAGCCGCGCGAGCACGTCGTGGCGCACGAAATCGCGCCAGAACGTCTGCACGAGCACCAACGCCGTGAGGAGCACGCCGTAGTGGAGCGCCGGGCCGTCCGCCGCGGGCGCGGCCCGCACCTGGCGCGCCACGCACGCGAGCAAGCACGCGCGGTCCACCAAGCGCTCGACGTAGAGCGTGCGCACGAGGCGCAAGAGGTAGGCCAAGCGCAGGCGGCGCGGCCCCGGCAGCGGCGGCCCGCGCGACTCGCGGGCCACGTGGTCCGCCACCTGCTGCGTCCACTCGAGGAGCCCGCGGGCGTCGCGCGGGTCGCGCCTGCGGCGCAGCAGCAGCAGCTCCGCGCCCAACACGCACTTGACGCACCACACGGCGCGGGCCTCGGGCACCTGCCACGCACACAAGTGGTCGAGCAACAGGCGGTGGCGGAGGCCGTGCGGCACGCGGGCCGCCACGCGCGCGAGCGGCACGTCCGCGTCCGCCAAGTCGCGGAGCCACGCGTCGCGGCGCGGCGCCGTCATGGTCACGCGGGGCGGCGGGCGGGGCGCGTGGCTGGCGCCCGCGATCCGGTTGAGCGTGTCGTTGCGCACGCTGTACGCGCGGGCAAGCGTCCGCAGAAGCTCGCCGAGGAGCGCGGCCGCCGCGGCGTCCGGCGCGAGGAGCGTCTCGTGCACCAACGTGCGCGCGGACAAGGACTCGGCGGGCACCGCCGGCGGCTCCAGGTAGCCGTTGTGGAGGCACTCGGCGGCCGCGAGCCGCGCGGCGCCGGCCGGCGGGCCGGCCCAGGGCTGGTAGTCGGGGTACACGCGCGGGCCGGCGCCGTTGGCGAGCGCGTGCACGGGCTCCCGGGGGCGGTCCATGGAGTACCGGAGCAGCAAGAGCTGGTCCTTGGACGAGCGGGCCGCGGCGGCCAGGCGCCCGGGGCCGGCGAGGAGCGAGTTTCGGTTTTTGGGCCGCGACATGGGCGGTCCGGGCGGGGCAGGGGCAGGCGGGGCGCGCGGCGGGGCCTGGGATGGGTGGGGGCGGCAGAAAGAGCCGGGGTGAGTGTGGGTTTGTGGCGCTTAGAGGAGGAGTTGCGAGTTGAGAGTTGGGCGTTTAGCGCGCGCGCGGCCGGGGGCCTGGGGCCTAGGGCCTAGGGCCTGGCGCTGGCGCTGGGGCGGGGCCGGGGCCGGGGCCGGGCGCCTTTTTTTTTTTGGCGGCGCGCCCGGCTTCCAGGGCGGCGGGGCCAGGGCGGCGGGGCTGGGGGGATGTGCTCTGTTTGGGGCCCTGGGGGCATGCACACAATCTTGTGTAAGTTAATGGAGACGGGATATAAAATTAGAGAGTGGTTGGAGGCGTAGTTGATTTTTATGGGTCGGTGCTATTACTGTATGGTCATGATTACTCGGGTATTTAGTGTACTCTACTCTATCTTCGGGATATATTTACTGGGTACAGGATATTGCATTGGAGAGTGGTTGGGGAGGCGCACACAATTTCATGGTTGGACTATGGACTGTATGTCTATGGTATTATGACTTAGTTATTTAGTCTACTCTACTCTATCATCTGGATATATTTACTGGGTACAGGATATTGCATTGGAGAGTGGTTGGGGAGGCAAAATTCATTTCTATGGTTGGGCTATGGACTGTGTGTAGTTGGTGTGTTGTATGCCTATGGTCATGATTACTCTGTTATTAATCTACTCCACTCTATCTTCTGGGTATATTTACTGGGTACAGGATATTGCATTGGAATGTTGGTTGGAGAAGCGCACATAATTTCATGGTTGCGTACTATGGACTATATGCCTATGGTCATGATAACTCAGTTATTAATCTACTCCACTCTATATTATGTATGTATATATCGTTGCTTGAGGAGGCGTAATTGTTTTTTTGGTTGGGTACTTTTACTGTGTAGTCATGATAACTCAGGTACTTAGTCTACTCTACCCCATCTTATGGATACATTCGGTGGAGACGGATGCAGCATTGGTGAGTGTTTTCTGGGGAAGCACAATTATTTTATGGTTGCGTACTATGGACTGTATCCCTATGGTCATGATTACTCAGTTATTATTCTACTCCACTCTATCTTCTGGATGTAATCGGTGGAGACGGATACAGCATTGAAGAGTGTTGTTTGAGGAAGCGCAATTAATTTTATGGTTGGGGCTATGATTGTATGCATATGGTCATGATCACTCAGTTATTAATCTAGTACACTCTATCTTATAGATAATTTACTGAGTACAGGATACAACAAAGAGCGTTACTCGGGGAAGCGCAAATAATTATATGGTTGCGTACTGTGGACTGTATGCTTATGATTACGATTACAGCATCAAAGAGCGTTCCGTGGGGAAGTGTAACTTTCTGGCTGGGCACTATTACTGTATGCTTATGGTCATGATTTTTCAGGTGTTTAGTCTATTTACTCTATCTTATAGATATATTTACCAATTACAAAATACAACATCGAAGATGTTACTTCGGGAGCGTGATTGATTCTTTTGATTTGGGCTATGGACTGTGGTCATGATTACTGATTTATTTAATCTGGTCTACTCTGTCTCCTAGATATATTTACTGAGTACAGGATACAGCATTGAAGGGGAGGCGAAATTAATTTTGATGGCTGGGTACTATGAACGTATGCCAATGGTCATGAGTACTCAGTCATTCAATCTACTCTACTCTATCTTATGAATATAGTTGGTAGAGACGGAAACAGCATTGGAGAGTGTTTTTTGGGAAGCAGAATTGATTTTTATGGAGGGTGGGTACTTTTCACTATGATGACATGGCATGGTGGGTATGCCATGGTAGGTAAGGTATTGTATGGTATCATAGGTTATGGGCATAATTGAAATCTACTTCACTCCACTCTACTCTACTTCATCCCACTCCATTCCACTCTAGTTCTCCGGGGTCAAAATAATGTCATTTGTTAAAATAGTCATGTGTGATCTTCTGTATTTATTTAATAAAGACAGAATACAGCATTGAAGTGTGATACCCCGGGAAACATATTTTTTTTCCGGATGATTCGATTTAAAACTATGTTGTCTTGTATTGTGTTGTATGCTCATGGACATGATTATTGGGTTTTTGATCTACCCCACTTTACCCTACTCTACTTCATTTAGTTCGTGGGATTTACAATCTTGTGTATATTTGGTGGAGACGGATCCAGCATTGAAGGGAAGCGTATTTGATATTTATGGTTGGGTACTATGGATTCTGTATACAGTTGGTGTGCTGTATGCCTATGGTCATGATTACTTGGTTCTTAAACTTACTCTACTCTTTCTTATGTATATATACAATGAATACAGGATACAGCATTGGAGGGGAAGCGTAATTAACTTTTAGGGTTGAGTACTGTTGACTGTAAAATTATTGTATAGCGGCTGCATGGTATGGCATATGTTATAAGCATGATTATCATATGTTATGAGCATGATTATAGGTTTTGAATTCTACTCCACTCCACTCCACTTTATTCCACTCCACTTTAGCTCACCCACTATAATGTACTTCACTCCGCACTACCTCACTTCAGTCCACTTCAATCCACTCCATTTGTGCGGAAGATCATGTCATTTGGTAACATGGTGATATATAATCTTATTTATATATTTGATGGAGATGGGATGCAGCATTGAAAAGTGCTTGGGGAAGAGTTCTTAATTTTTATGTTGGTACAACTTACTATGCTGTCATATATTGTGTTGTATTCTTATGGATAATCTCCTCCAATCCACTCTACTTTACTTCATCACTGTGAAGCTCAGATCATGGCATCTAGTCAGATAGTTACGCATAATCTTCTGTATATATTAATACAGAACACAGCAGTATAGTCTGACGCAGACAAGATACACCATTACAGTCTGAAGAAAACAAGATTCAGTATATTTAGTTTTGAAATCCAATCTCTGATTTATTCCGCTGTCTCTCTCGAGAGTAAGATTGGGGCTTTTAGCTTAAATGGTTGAATTTACTTTTATGTATATATCTGATGGGTGTAGGAAACACCATTGAAGTGTGTTATTCTGACAAACACAATTATTCTTTCATGGTGATTGATAATATACACTATGATGGTATGGTATGGTATGGACATAAATAATAGGTCATGAAATCACGCTTAATACTCCACTCTTCTCTGCTTTACTCTACCTACTCCACTCTACTCTATATCTGCGGGGTCAAGATCGTGGCATCTGGCTGAAATGATAATATATACTCCTATGTGTATATCTTATGAGTCTAGGATTCAACAGTGAAGTCTTAATTAATCTTTATGGTGATCTGGTACTATTGGCTTTGTAAACAATCATTGTGTATTGTTGTGTTGTATTTGTACTGTCTGTTTAAGGACGTGAATATCATGTTTTGAAATCCAATCCAATCTACTCCACTCAACTCCACCCTGTCCAGGTTGAAATCATGACTTCTAATCAAGTTATTAACTTTAATTTTGTGTATATATCTGATGGGTCCAGGATGCAAAATTGAAGTCTCTTACTCGCGGAATCATAACAAATTCTTATGTGGATTTGATTACTATTAACTGTGTATACACTAATTTTGTTATGTCGTATAATTTTATGGTATTGCATGTTTATGGTATTGCATGTTTATGAACATAACTATTAAGTTTTGAGCTTCACCCCAGTCTACTCTACTCTAGTATACTCTGTTTATGTGGGGTTCAGATCATGGCATTTAGTCAGTGTGGTGATGTATCATTCTGTGTATATATTGGATGAAAATGGGATACACCATTGAAGCCTGATGAAGAGAGGATACACCATTGAAGTCTGAAGAATACAAGATATTGAAGTATATAACTCGGGGACACATGATTGAGCTTTTATGGTGATTAGTTACTATTCACAATTTTTACAATTTGTGCTTTGTTCTATGTTTTTGGACATGATTATTAAGTTTCGAATCTACTCTATCTTCTGTGCATATTTAATGAATACATAATACAGCGTCAAGTGTATCTAATGAGTACAAATTACGGCATTGAAGTGTGTTAGTCGGAAAACTTTTCTTTTTGTGATTGGTTACGATTATCTAAATATACAATTGTTGTGTTGTATTGGTACTTTATTCTATGGACATGGATATAAGATTTTGAAATCGACTCTGGTCTACTCTTCTCTCATGTATTCCACTCTACTCTTTTTTTCCATACTTCTCTAAAATACTGTTCTGCACTCCACCTTGATTTATAGTCATTATAGTTATAGATCTTGATCTGAAGACTAACCTGGGGCTGATCTCAACTTTGGTTGAAAGTCACAACTCAAGCTAAGGCTTACTAAATTACACTGAATAGACCTTGGTATCACATCGCCTTGAAATAATATTTTGTTTGGTGATGACCTCCTTTGTGACAATACTTTTAATATTATTTTACTGTCTTGATTGGCTTTCTTGGTAGTTTGTGTGTTTCTTCGTTTTTTTTTGCTTTTCTGTCTTTGCTCTTTTGTTTTTGCTACTCGTCTCTTGTACTTTTAATAATTTGTACTTTCCATACTAATTTATTGGATATTTATTTTTTTGATTTCTTTTAAATTTATTTTTTTGTTTCTATCCTTCTCATGTGAACTGCTTTTTTGTTGCTTGATTTGGTTGTCTTGTTCCAGCACGGTACATGATGGTCAGTGGCTGAGTGTTTGGGTGTCGCTGGGCCCGTGGGGCGATGACACTTGACTACTCAACGGACCTCGCTGCTTACATGATTCATCAAGCCAGGGGTCACGATAGTGCTGGATGACCAGATAGAGTGCTAGAACTGGGGACTGGCCCTAATCGCTTCATAAATGTACTTCAAGTATTGATCGGGGGATATGTTTTGTAACTCATTACTTCACATCTGTCTCTACAATGAAGGCAGCTGTAATAAAGGATGGTCTCAAGTTTTGTTGGTACAGGTCTTATTGGTATAGGATATGTTAGTAGAGGCAAACTCAGACGTTATTTAAGTCCAGATCTAGAATATAGCAAAGTAGAAGCCCAGGCACAGAAACTCAAGAGCTATCAAAGATCATACACCAAGTTTCCGAAAAAGTCAAGTTTTTATGTTTATTAGCGCAAATAATTTTGTTACAGATCAATAGCTCTATGAGATCTATGGCCAACAGAAAAATTAATCTTCCGGAAAATTAAGAGAAGCGTGACCTTTTTGACTAGAGTCACAATCTTCGATTGTACAGAGGCCGCAGGACTCTTCATGCCTTACCCTTGTTTTCTATCATTCCGTTTGAAAGCCCTCTAAAAATTCTGCTATTGGTATTATGCATGATACGAGCCATTCTTTTGAGTTCAATAACCCACAGCTTGACTATGGCTCTATCATCCGGAAGATGAGGTCATACATTATGATCCAGCCGCAATCTGGTTTCTTCTAACCATCAAAAGTGGAGATCCTATGAGAAAACATCTGGAAGTTAAAAATAATGAGTTCTTAAGTTAGGTGAACTTTCCATTAGTTTTCAAGACAGAGTCTCCATGCATAATATTAACTGCTGTGAGACCAGGACTCGTGCGACCGGAAAGAATTATACTTTGCAACGCACCGCATATGAACAGAGGATCATCAAATGATTTCGAAGGCAATTGGGGTCAAGATAGCTGCTGAGAACACAAATGTGCAACCCAATTCCTTCCTTCTCGTGCGTCAAATCATGCCACTCATACATCGCAACTAGCCGTGGCTCGGGCTGGTAAACTCTTTATGCTGGCTACAGAAGAAAGTGGTAAAAAAGCAGGGGAATATTATCTCATATTGCAAATTCTATACCAGTTACACCTGAGCCCTTCAGATTCTCTGGTAGATTTAGTTAGCTGCTGTTGAGGCTGCTGGCACTGGACTATCGCCGCGTCACATTTCCAGGATCCGCCAGGGTCAGCTGGCTACACAGGCTAATGACATGCCTAAATAAAATGACGTATTTCTTTGAATTTCATGTACTTACAAGCTATTTTCGTAGTTGAATCAGCTTCTATCGGCCCTGCCGAGCCTGGTGCGACTGGGGCCTGGCCTCGATACTTTGGGACCCATTCTTACGACGCAAGCCAGGACGAGCCATGTCCAATTGGCCCAGTTTGATCTTTAGACCTCCAAATGCCTTGAAGCTGCGTGAGTCGTAAAACTAGATGTTCTTTATTTGATCAATATTGGCTGCTTTTGCTGGCCCCACTCCATACTCTCTAGAAACAGGCCATAACAGGGACACTGGGGCAACTGGCTATAAATTGGGCTATGGGCCGGTAAGGAAAGAGCCCCTAATGCACCACCATGTCCAAGAACCATTGAACGTGAAAAATGAGAATCAACTATAAGCCAAAAACTGATTGTCGCCGTAAGTGCATGTTTGTATATTTATTGTGAGTTTTGTCGATCAGGCCGAGTATTTCATGACACTCTAGAAAATTAGAAATGTTTGCGAGTAATATAGTCTATTGAATCATATTTTTTTGGTTTTAAAAGCTGCTGTGCTTCGACGACGCGGCACCCGACCTATGATTCAGAAGGAGGTTGTTTCACAAAGAACTAGATTTATGATAGAGTACTCACAACAACATAAAGGAATGTTTGTATACCAAGATACGTGAAATCTTGGACTAAGTGCTGTCAGCCACATTCAGAACGGCACGACTCTGCTTCCTTTTAGGAATTACCCGGCATATTCCGAGCAGTGGCTCATCAACTCATTCTGGGGAAAAAGGAATCAAGAATTCTTTAGGTACCTGAAATAATTGGGAAATATAAATGAGTGAGTTTTAAACCAAACAAGGCGAGTTGTATAGTCTGCGTCTGCCGAGCCTGGTGAGACCGAGATATCGTCCTAATACACCTTTTGATAAACATTGCCCAAAGAGGATGTTTGCATAGGTATCTAAGAAAACAATAATATGTGGGTCGAGTAATTCTACTTGCAAGTACATATATGTCAAGTAGTTCTGTACACAATATCAAACTACTTAGGTAGTATAACTAGTTGCTGTGAATGTCCTATAAATTATGATGTGATTTGACGTCACAGTTTAGTACACCCGGTACATCTAAAGCAAATTACAACAAAAGATAATCAAACCATGTGGTTTGAACTCTCAAATATGGGCCGTCAGCTACTGCGACATTGTCTGTAGGAGAGGTGGGCATGACTTGACTATATGATTATCCCTCCCTAGGTAATTTCGAAGTCTGAAGACTCAGCTACTTTGCTTCGGTTCTTGAATCTTTAAAATTGTGCGGGAGTGCTTTTTGTTTTCTGCACAATGCTGCCCTTATTCAAATTAGCTGCTTAGGACAGGCTGATGATTCTTCACTTTTGGAAATATCCTCCCAAAAATCCCGGAAACGTTTGTTTAACCCGGTTTACGAGAAATCAGAATCTAAAACGAGAGCACGAAAAAGCCAAATTAGCTTCGTCTGAACGCTAGGTAATTAAAGCATTGCACCGATTTCATTGAGTCTAGAGGGCCTGGTGAAACCATATCGCCATCACCCTCCTAAAGCATGCAAAGAAAATAGGAAGCTTGTCTCAAACGACAAATGATTCTCTCAGACTTTGACGAAAATAAAAGTACGGGAGCCAGTAAAGGCTGTCTAAGCAACTAGTCGTCCACTCTAGTTCAAATCTACTTTGGGCCCAAGCTTAAATTTCTACGGAAATATAATACACGGTTGCAAGATAAGTATCTATAGTCTAATCATTTATAAATTAAAAATCATTAAGAATACATTTTGAAGCGAAGAAACTACATTATTGATTGGCAGATTTCCTCTTTTAGTCCAGCGTCGCTGCAAATGTAAAAAGATCTGACATTTTTCTTCTCAGGAATTTCGGTAGATGGCTTTTTTCAGGATGAAATTGAAATCTGATTTCCCGACTAAACTCGATTAAAATTTGAACCTTCTTAAACAAACTGATGGCCAGTTCGTTCGATCACTTCAAAGCCTTTTACAATTCAATTTCGTGTAGATACAGTTGTATGCAGAGATTCGTATAATTATATCTTTAAAAGCACAACTCGAGCTTAAGATCTATAATCTCTATATCTGTATCTCCTGCGTAGTCTCTGTGGCACCATAAATGAAGATTTTGGCCTCACTACCAGTCGTCGTCGTCATCATTATCATCACTATAATCAGTGGTGGCACCTTTTCTCTTCATCAAGGCATCCGCCAAGGACCCAGCCAATGTCACTTCCTCGGTCTTCTTTGCCTTGAGCGCGTCCGCAAGCCCGTTGCCTAATCCACCACTGGACTGTGAAGCAGAGCCTGGAGCCGGCTTACTTTGACTGTGTGCTGGAGGGGGCGGAGGTGGAGGTGTGGATTTGGCACCACCAAAAAGCTCTGCAGGCGGCTCAATCTCTTTCATGTAATCAAGAGGGGACCAGCCTTCTCTGGTCTCCTTTAGGTCTTTTACGAGACCCCACTTGCCATTAACACTGACAACATACACCACCTCGTCCTTGACGAGAGGAACAGATCCAGCAACAGAACCATCATAGTCGTAAATAACTTTATACGTAGGATGCTTCGGCTTCGAAACTGCCAAAGATGGGGGCGGAGGAGGTGGTGGAGCGACCTTTCTCACAGGTGGTTTTGGAGCTGGCCCCTTTTGAGCAGGTCTTGGTGGAGGAGCGACTCGCTGTGCTGTAGCTGGCTGAGCACTTGGATGTGGCTGTGGCCTCTGAGGCGCAACAGGAGTTGGTCTAGACTGTGCTTGTGACTGTGCTTGAGATTGAGGTTGCGATTGAGGTTGGGGTCTCAGCGGAGCCAAAGGCGCTGGTCTGGTCTGAGTGACAGCTGGGGTAGCCACGGCAGTGTATGATTGAGTTGAGGGCTGGGGAGGCACATAAGCTTGATGGGCACCAGGATTTCTGGTGACGGGCGTAGGCGCATTGTATCCACTGCCATTGCTTCTTCGAATTCCTCTGTTATAATACTTGCTGTAATCAACAGTGGTAGAGGCACCCCGCGGTCTCTTCGGGTTCTTGCTGTTGGGGTTCAATCCCTGCTGTACGGTGACAGTTCCAGATTTGTAGATGTCTCCATGTAAAGGAGCAGCCCCATGCTGGAACTTGATCACGTGGAATTTCCCTGGCTTCTTTTGGTATTGCACCGTTGTGTCTATTTTCACTGTGATTCCCCTATTGATCTTCTTAAACTGCGTCACCAATTCAGTCTTGAAGTCCAAATTAATGAAAATGTCTGGTGTTGACGGATTTGGAGAGTGCAAAGAAATTGCAAGCCAGTTATCTTGGAATGTCGATAGGTTGAGACTGTTGATTCCACTGACTGGAATGGAGAATTCTTTTTGGAGATGGAGTCTGTTCTCAACTAAAGACTCGGCAATAACAAAGAAATTTGAGCGCGTGAGAATGAAGATACGCGAAAGACGCTTGGAAGATCTGCCAAACTTCGACAAGAGAATTTCGCCTTTTGCCGAAAACGCAACGGGCTCAGATATACTGGTTTGACTGACAATGAATCTGCCGTATCCAGAAGAGTCATTGCAGCCAAGATAATCACCCATATATGATCTGGACCCAAGAATCGAGAATCTTCTTCTCTCTTTTCTGCCTTGCAAAATAGCAGTGCCTTCATCACGAAGCTGCTCAAATTTATTACCGTGTTTCTTAGTCCTCCAGGCATTTTGAATGACTCTTGCTGCATCTTCCTTCTTCTTAAGATAACGTCTCCAGGCACGCTGGATACGGGCGGCCATATTGTGCCAGTACTTATCCCTCATATCTTCCAAAGCAAAAAGGGTTTCAGGAGTCTTGATAAAGACTTTGGTCGTTCCCATTTGGTACTCAGAAGTAGGAATGTGACAACTACGCAAGATCTCTTTCACTGCAGTTATGTCTTCACCTTGCCAAATGTAATCACCAGCGTAGCCAGTAGCTGGAGACAATAGGTAAAACCTCTGAACAAACTTGTCGAACGTCGTGCGGTAGGCAAATCCAGCTCTCCTGATACGCACGTTTTCCTTCAACCCCAAATACTTGATTTGGTGCAATACTTGCTGGTTTTCATACTCCTTGGGCCTTTTGGTCTGGTTCGGCTTGATAGTACGGATGTAGGAAGGTTGGCACTGAGATAACGTGTCTACCAAAATGTTTGCACTCTTTTTGATTTTGTCGGAGGCAGTTTCCGGTCTTTTTTTCGAATCCGTAAGCGCAGACAAGAGGTCTGGGGGGAACAAACTCTGAGTCACGAAGGTGTTGGTGGAGGTTGACAAGAGCTCAAGCAAGTCGCGCAACATACTGTCCTTGTTTTTGTCCGTCATTCCGGCAACCTCGTAAGTCACGTCGCCCGCATAGTGCTTGATGATGAATTTGCCCCTGCGGTCCTCGAAATGGCGGTTGTTTGCGCCCACCATACTCAATCTTTGGGCAAAAACCTGGTCTGCGGCATCGGAGTCTGCGTGGGCTGTCTTGATGGAGTCGTTCAACGCAGCGAACAAGCCAGGTTGGGGCCGCGTGGCCTCTATGAGGTCACAAACAACCTTGTTGTTGAAGTAGTCGATAGGGGTCCACTGGATCTGCTCCTGGACATACTCGTCCTGTTCGGCCTTCAACGTCAACTGGATGAAGATCTGCTGCAACTTCTCATTGACATAGTTGATGCAGATCTGCTCGAAGGAGTTCTGCTCGAAGATCTCAAAGCCATAGATGTCCAAAATCCCAATGGATTTCTTGGCGTAGTCCTGGGCCTCGTCTTTCAAGGAGACATTCACCCTGTCGACAATCCACTCAAACAAGTTGTTGTAGATCCCCTTTGCCAACGCGTCACGCACGGAGGTCGCCTGCACGATGTTCAATGGCACGTGGTACGTGGAGCCCCGCCTCATTCCGTGAGAGGTCTCGATGATGCGCTCGATGATCGATTTCTTCAAGATCTCCGCGTTGACCTCCAACAAGTACGCCACGAAATTGGTGACGCCCTCGTCGCGGATGGCGGCGTTGCCGCTCTCGTCCTCCACGAAGGATATGTTGCCGATCCAGAGAATCGCGGCAAGCATGCGGAAAATGTTGTCCTGTTCCACCTGCGCCAAGCCAATCACGTTCATGGCGTTCAAGGTCTCCTGGAAGTCCTTGGCGTCGTCAATGCCATCGGCATTGATGCACTTTGCTGCGGACGTGTAGATGTAAGTTTGCGGGCCCTGCACACCGAACGCCTGCTGGTACTGTGGCGGGCAGTGCTTGGTGAACTGGTAGAAAATGTGGAAGTTGCGCTCGTTGGAGATCTGCTGCACCACGCGCTGCTTCTCCAACAAGTAGTTGGTGATGTGCGCCGCACTGGGCTGGTTGGCCGCGTTGAAGTAGATTTCGAGGTACTTGCCGTGGCGTGACGAGTTGTTGTTTCTGAGCGTCTTTGCGCAGCCGAAGGACTCCAAGAGCGGGTTGGTGGCGAGCACCATGTCCTTGATTTTCGAGATCCCGCTCGAGCCGGAAGCCGCCGCCTGATCGTCCACCGAGACGTTGGCTATGTATTGCATGATCTGCTTGGCGGCCTCGGTTTTGCCCGCGCCGGACTCGCCGGAAATGATCACGCACTGGTTCTCGCCGTACGACTTCAAGTGGTAGTACATGGTCTCGGCTATGGCGTACACGTGGGGCGGCACCTCCAATCTGTTCTTGCCCTTGTATAGGCTGAGCGTCTGGGGCGTGTAGATGCCCAAATCCTGGAACGGGTTGACGGAAATCAACACGTGACCGATGTACGTGTAGATGGACCCGTTCATGAACCGCTTGTGCAAGTTGTCGTTGATGGATTCGTCGGAAATGGTGGACAAGAGCGTCAAGTCCGAGACGCCCACCTCTTTCTTTTTGGTGAGGTCAAACTCGGCCTTTTTGATGCCGGATTTCGCAGGCACGGCCTGCTGCTTGGCCTTGGTGCGGCCGCCTCTTTTCACAATGGCCATGGTCTGGGGGAGTGAGCAGGGGGCGAGTTGGGTGTTTTGATTAGCGGAGTGTCCGGCTAATCTATAGGTGCTTGGGGCCGGGCCAGGAACCGGCAGTGGCGCGCGGGCTGGTCGTGCGCGGGCCAAAAGGCGGAGCAGGGCAGCGTGACTCGGGGCCTGGCGCGGATGCTTGGGGCTGGTTCTGGGAGGTCCACGGGAGGATGGAGAAAAGCACGAGGCCGTTTTCTGGAGCGGGTGGATTTCTTAGACTAGTGTTTTTTTTTGTCAAGCTGGTGGTTTTTTAGAAGCTGGTGGTTTTTTTGAAGCTTATTGTTTTTCAGAAGCTGGTGGTTTTTTTGAAGCTGGTGGTTTTTTTGAAGCTTATTGTTTTTCAGAAGCTGGTGGTTTTTTTGAAGCTTATTGTTTTTTTGAAGCTTATTGTTTTTCAGAAGCTGGTGGTTTTTTTGAAGCTTATTGTTTTTTTGAAGCTGGTGGGTATTTCTGTGGTGTTTTTGACATGGCTCTTTAGACCGGCCTTTTTATCGTTCTCTGTTTATTACCACTGCGCTCTTATTGAGAATAAATGCTGCGAACATTAGGGATGGTGATTACAGGCCAGTTCAGTTGCCGTACATTCCTTTTGCATGGACAAAAAACACATGTCAACCATCGTGCACATATCTTAATCAGTCTACTTATTTCCTCTGTTTCTGAAAATTCGCAAAAAGGTGTCTTCGGTGGCTGCTGTGCCTATCGCAGGCATGTCCTGGAAGCATCTGCCTATTTTCGCTCTGCCACCCGCGCCTGCCTGAGCGATGAATACTAGGCAGTGCGCATGTTCAGTAGACATAGTTCAAACCTCACCGGGCCAGATTTCTCGCCGAAATCTCGGAGTATGCCGCGATTGAGTTCACTCGTGTCTGATGGCCTCTTCGATCTCTCTGAGCCATGGACGATAAAAAGGTAAAAAAAAGTGATACGTCAGATTCTGGCGGGGCTTGTGCTGTAGGCTCAGTATACTGAAAAGCACCTCGAAAGCCTTTCGCCCACTGCCTCGAACACATCGAAAAAGTGTAGCCCAGCTGCGAATTCCCAACGTCGCCGGTTTGGCTGCATCGGCTGGTCCAAAACAAAGCCTTCAAGATTCATCGGACACACTGTGTATTAGCCGTAGACGTAGCCTATACAACCATTCTTGTAGCGTCGAACAATGTACTTTGCCCCTCGGCCTGTCCCGAGTTTCTTTCCACTGAGAAAATCAAGCCCACAGAATCGTTCCTGGACAGCCCATCTCTCCAAAAGAGGCCCTTTCGGTCACTTCCTCTACGAAGACCAGATCCTCACCATCTTGTCCTTTCCACCGGATGCCACCTTCTTGCCGTCCATGCTCCAGTCCACCGCATACACCTCGTCGGCGTGGCCTGGCAAGTCCACGTTGAGCTTTCTGGTCCGCACGTCCCACACTTTCAAAGTGGTGTCTTTCGAACAGCTCACCAACAATCTGCTGTCTGACGACCAGGCGGTCTGGTACACTGGGGCGACGTGGCCGCGGAACGTGCCAATAAAAGTGCCCTTCAAACCGTCCCAGATTTTGATGGAGTTATCGAAAGAAGCGGACACAATGTAGCGGCCGTCCGGCGAGAACAGCACGTGGTTCACGAGCTTCTGGTGGCCCGTCATCCGGCACACCGGTTTCGATGACTTCAACGGTTCCCACAAATACATGGTGAAATCGTCACTGGCCGTCACGAGGCGCTCGCTGATCCGGCCCCCAAGCTTGGCAACCTTCTCGTACTGCTCAAGTGCTTTCTTGCGCAACTCCTTGGCGTCGCTCTTCGTGCTCTTCTTGGACGACGTGTGGTCAAAGCCGCCTTTTCTCAACACATGGTCCGTCGAGATTGACAAGTGGTTCACCCAGTGCGCGTGGCTCTTGAGAGTCTGGATACATTTGCCTCCAGCAGCGATGTCCCAGGCCTTGATCGACTTGTCGTGCGACGCACTGTACAAAATATCCGAGCCGGACCACTTGACGCACGACACCGCGTTGGTATGCCCGGCCATGGTGTAGAGACACGTTCTGCGCGTGGTGTCCCAGATCTTGACGGTCCCGTCCTTGGAGCCAGAGCCTAGACGGGGCGTCTCGCTATCCTTCACAAGGTGCAAGGGCTCCCACGTCAAGCTGGAAATCCACTTTGTGTGGCCCACCAAGGGCTGTCCCAACAGGGCACCCGTCGTAGCATCCCACAAGCGGATGGTGTTGTCCATGGACCCGGTGGCAAGCATGGTTCCACAAGGCGAATACGATACACACAACACCCAGTTGGTGTGGCCCGTGAGCGTTTTGAAAGGAGTTTGCGTGTTGCAGTCCCAGATACGGGCAGTCGAGTCCCCGGCTCCGGTGCACATTCTGCCGGAGTCGTTGGGCGCAAACTGAGAGCACAAAATGGTCGACGAGTGGCCAGCAATGGCCGTATTTGACCGCGTCACAGCCTTGACTTTGAAGACTGCTCGCGGCGTGTACACGATGGTCAAGAAGTCCTCCGTGGTCTTGATTCCGGGCTTCAAAATCGACGTGTAAAGATTATCTTGGATGTCCACGAGCAGCGCATCGGCCTGCCCGTCTTTTTGGTCAAGAAGAGAAAACGAGTATGGAACAGGGTCGTCTTTTTCGCCATTGAGCTGGTTCAAGAGCTCTTCCAACTGCTTTTCGGTGATGCCTCCAGGCACCCGGATCGAGCCTCCCACAGACTCTCCGGAATCTGCTGCCTGGAACTTTATTAGCACATTCGGGATGTCTTCAGGAACGAGGTTGACCTCGCGCACTTGCTGTGCTTCCTTCTTTTGTTTTTTGGATGGCGGTGGGATGACAGTGGCCATGTTTAGGATGTGAACGTTAGAAAAGATGCTTCTCGTACGCTTCGAATTTTGGAAATTATCACCCAGATGCTCATCGCCGGGTGTGTGTGCAGGACAACGTACAGGGTCCGAGTCTTGAAGGTGCGAGTATCATGGTCTTGTTCCGATTTGTTTTTGGGAGCATTTGTAGAAATTGCGCTGTCGGACTCTTCGTCGCTTTTCAATTGTTAGTTCTGTTCAGAAAAATGAAGCAAGTGGCGCTGTCTACCCAAAAGCGTGCGCGATTCAAAACATGCTTCAGCTTGTAGATGCCTCGCGTTCCATCTGCCTCCCCTGCGTTCATGTAATTTGGTCTAATTTCTGGTCTCCATCCGGCCTCTCCGCTTTCATATGTTTTGTTTTTCTGATAATGGATCTCCGATCTTGTTAAAGGCAATCCTTTTTTTTTGATTTCACTACAGGCGGTTTGCCCGTATTCCCGAAATATCTGCGTGCCATACAATCACTTCGCAAACAAATAATGCATGATATAGTGAAACTTAGTTGTTAGTAACAATCGCTTCACAGCCAATAAATAATGCATAATATAGTGAAACTTAGTAGTTAGTAACAATCGCCTCACAGCCAATAAATAATGCATGTTATGGTGAACTCAGTAGTTAGCAGCAATCAAACCCAGCTCCTCGTGATGAAATGAAAAATGCAACACCAGTTCAGTGCTCCTGCTCACGAGTGGCGAACGAGCCACTCGGCGTCGCTGTTTTCCAAGTCTTCAAGGAGGGTCCCCGTCAGCTCGACGTCAGAGCCGTCAATAAACAGGTGTTCGTTTTCGTCCACAATAACAAGTTCTGGAATAGCATTGCTCGTCCTATCGTTAATACCAGTTCTCAGCTCGGTGCTGCCTGTTTTTTGTCTTATTTTGTCTTCGGACTCACAAGCCAATTTGTTTTTTTCAAAACCTTCAACACCATCATCTCCACTGCTTGTGCTAAGACGCTCACATTCCCCCTCGTGTCCACAGTCACTTTCGTATCCACTTTCGTCTTCACTCTCAGATTCGTCCAGTTCACCGCCAGTGTCTTCTGCCTCGCTGGCGGTTTCTTCGCCGCTTTCCTCGGGGTGCTCGGGCGGACCCCCACTCATGAGCAGGTCGAGTCTTTGGTCACCAAAAACGGCCCCAAAATTAGTTGGTGATGAAGGAATGGACAACTTGCGTATCTTGCGTCTTGGACACTCAGCGCCTGAGTCTGATAACTGCTCAGTATCGCAAACAGCTTCTGACTCCCTCGCAGGGAGCTGTGTGGAGGTGATGGAGTTCTGGATAAGCAATGCAAGTGCATCCTCTTCCTTCTCGGGTCCCAGGAGATCGATCAACCACGAGCTATCCATGTCCTCTTGGTCAAAAAACATTGGATGCTTGCTATGGTGAAAGTACACCGGGTCGTTGATGTTATTGACTCCGTTTAAATAAGACACCTTCACCACCGATACAAAGAAGCGATGCAGATCTCCAAGCTGTTTGTGCTGTCTTGCAAAATACGGACTTTTGTCGAACCAGTCGTTGTAGAAGACCCATCTCGCGGTGATTTTGCTTTCGGCCAAATTGGGTTTCTCAGAGGAGGAGGGGCCTAGCGTCACCGGCTGAAGCACTTGTCTGGACGAGTCCTTGCTATGAAACGAGGTGTTTTGAGAAGTCGGCCCTTGGGAGATCGGGATTTGGGAGCTTTGAGGCGACGTGTCGGAAGACGGATTGGACGCCGCGTCTTTCCGCAACATCGGTAAGAACTTTGGCTCCAAGTGCCCCGCAAGCAAAACGACAGCGGAGAACTTGAAGGCAAAATCAGACATCATCAGGATAAGGCCATTCAAGTGGTTCTGGGCCTTTGTATATGGATTCTCACGTGCTATCAACGGCACTTGGGGCAACGCAATGGCATCAAGGCCCTCTTCCATGGCTTTGGGCATGTGCTCAAGAAAACACCGGTTTTTATCGATCTGGTGCTTAAGAAGCAATTCCTCGTGCGTGGCCGAGATCTGGAGGCGGTAGAACTCGATGGTTTCATGGAAGTTTGTCACAGCCACAAGCACAGAGCCAGGCTCGACTTCCTGCAACGGCATGAACGCAAAAAACGCGTACAACTGGGCAAACGTCGGCACATGGTACGACACGAGGCGGCCCTGGTCCACCCATGCGGCATCAAACGACGGGTGCTGTTCCAAAATCAGCCACGGAAACGCGTTCAACGTCTCAAGAACCACCACCTTCAGCTCTGGCGACAGTAGAAGATGGGACGCTACAAGACTACATAGAACCGCGGAAAAAGCTGAGTTAGCGGGCACACTTTGCAAGTCCAAAAGCGCGTCGCTCTGGAGCCTGAGCATCAGATCTAGCGTCGGCACCCCGGTCGAAAGATGGCTCCAGAAAGGCTTCTGGGTGCTGATATCGAAAAGCGAGACCATGTCAGAACAGCATTTGTGGGCAATTGCGATTTGGTTTGGAGGGCGATTCTGGAAAATGGCCTAATTTCAGTGGCTAGTGATGGTGCGCCTGGCTCCAGAGTCTGAATAGGGCCGTCGCGCTTTTTGCCACAAGCCTTCACTTCCTTGCTGACATTCTTCGTTTTCCCGAGAATGAAGTGGAGAAATTCGTGATGATGTGTTCATGGAGCATTTTTTTGTGTTTCTAATTTTTCTTATAAAAGTGGTCTTTTAGTTCTGGAATTGAGCATTGGGCCGCTTTCAAGAGACTGATGAACGAGATTGGTTATGGGCACATCGGAGACAGGTGACAGTGAAGCGACAAAAAACGGTGGCTTTGACTTGTCGTTGGGTTCTTGTTGATTTTACTATACAAAGATTCTCATCTCTCCACTATTTTTGACATTTGGGACCAGCCGAGAAATCATTTTATTGATGTGCTCCTGGGAACAGCTTGTTCCCAAATTATTTTTTTGCTCATATTTCCTGACAACGGGTTAGCATTTGAAATAGACAAAGAATCTCGAGTTTTGAATGTCACCGAGACACGTAGTTAAACGTGGCGAGATTTGGAGTTTATGTCTACCCAGCTTTGAAGAAGAAGCTTCAGCCTCTGTCACTGCGTTACAGCGTAAGGAAGCAGCTTGACGAATGGATTCGGATATCAATCAACAGCTGCCCAATTCTTGCGTTTTTGCAGGAACGTTGAGCTTCATTCATGACTTTAGCTTATGCCACTGGGCTTATTATTCTTGAGCATTGCACTGCATTGATTCTAACATGCGAGGCAAACCACTTCATCCTCTGCGCTATAAATATCATCTCGGTGCCTGCGGGAATCAGTTTAGTTTTTCTCCCAACAAAAGACGATTTTCGATAGGTCTGCATCAGCAGTATCGACGCGTTGGTTCTGGGCGCACTAATATTACAGGTTATTATGAGCCGAGCTTGCGAACAGAGGCAGCGAGAAGATCAAGAAAACGAATTGGAAGCTGCTCCTTCATCTAATTGTACCATTGGGTAGGGTCCAGAACCACATCTACAAATCTCGCGGATTTCATCAGTCAGATATCTTGCACCTTTTTAGAAAGGCCCTCTCACGAGTTCCAGTGGATACATTGCGAGATTACCACTACATATCTGGAGTGCAAAGATACATTCCCTGGGGTATATTTATTTTCATGTTCTGCACCTACCAATGGCGTCCTAAACAAACACGCCTCTTGTGATAAGATAATCGGTATCTGCGTCAGCTGTTGATATGCAGATGTACATTCTGTCCCAGCTGTGAATACAGAAACCAACCACGGCAGTATATGCACTATGAATCCCGGATATTCCAGGAACTATGGAGCCAGTATTTTAGCCCTGTTTAAGAAGTGTGTTCACGTCCGAAAACTAAAAGCGGGCTTCTCCCGAATGGCCTAGGACAGCAGACCAGAACCTCATTTCACAATGGTATTTCAGCCTGCAGTCCAAATCAGAGATACGCATACAAATTTGGCGATGGTAGAGGTTTATAGCTCATGTCGATCATAAGGCTCCAGAGACTTCCAAAGTACGCGTGGGCGAAGTGCGGTCATATGAATCAAGTAGTTACTAACCGGTTGATTTTCTGGAGCCTTCTTTTGATACACTCCAGGTTTTGGCTTTCCTCTCTTTACATATTCGAGCAAGTCGTCTACTATGCGCGTCAGCTCTTCTCGGACACGCCATTCAACTTCTAGTTACCGACTCAGTCTGCAGAGCTCTCGCCGTTATTCCAGCGCTAAAGCGAGTGCAAGCAACAGAAAAATCAAAAACGAAAGGAACAAAAACGAAAGGAACAAAACGAAAAAAAAGAAAAAAAAAACACTGTAATCTCACAAGTCTGTCTTTGACGTTTTCCATGCGAGCAGCGAACCACGGTAGAGCCAGCCAAGCACAGCTGTACTCCACTCAAAGCGCCCAGACCCAAAACCTAGAAATACATTTGGAATTCCTCAAGCCCCGCAGAACCGGGTGTCATTTCACCAATCCTTCCTAGCCTCGCCGGAACCTCCGCTATATGCACACCAGGCCTGAGTCAATTCGCATGGTGCCCCCGGCCCCTTCTTCAAGACGCGTAAAGTCCTAGAGCCAAATCACCAATCCACGGCCGATCGAAGAAGCTCCATTTTGGCGCCAAGATTCGGCCAGCCTTCACTTTGCCTTTTCGCCTGCTGCAGCCCGGGACCTAGCACCAGCAACAGCCCGCCCCACACCCGTACATCCGGCGCGTCGCTGGCTCTCACTGCTAAACCCACCAAGCGCCATAGAGTAAAACAGACCCCCCACCAGACACTCCGTTCAGCTCCCGAGCGGGTATTTCTGTCACTTTTCCGGAGTCGTACTTGCTGGCCAACTCAAAACTGCCGCCCCGGGTCTGCAGATAGACGACACGTGCCCTCGCACCACGCGTTTCCTAGGTCCCCACCAGGCCCCGTCCATCGTTTGGAAGGCCCCCGAAACCCGCCCTTTCCCCCGGATTCCCGGCCCTGGCATCGGCCCTGTGTCTTGTGGGCGCCCGCAGCTCCTAGAAACACCGCTTTTTTCCGGAAAAAAGCAGCTCCACGGTGGCTTTGCGACACCCCCACCCGGCCATCCTGAGCCTCCTCAACGGCCAGCCTTATTTCAGCCGCCGGCACGCTTTTTGTGCCCGAAACAACCCCACACTCCATGCACAGCTACAGCTCCCTGAAGGAGCACCCCGCGCCCGCGGGCCGCCCCGCCATGCCCCCGCTGCTCTCGGCCACGTCCAGCCGACGGCCCACTCTCAGCAGAACACAGTCTGTCCAGGCTGTCATGAGCCAGAACGACACGGCCATGCACAAAGGCTCGCTGGCCAGCGGCAGCAGCGGCCCGCCGGCCGCCGGGTCCGGCTCCGCGGGCGGCGGGGCGTCGGAATCGCGCCGCAACAGTGGCAAACAGAGGTCGCTCAGCCAGGTTTTGGCGTCCAACCTCCTCAACACCAACCAGTACTTGGCGCAGGAAAAGGCGTACCTCAAGAGAATACGAAACCAGTGGGGCGATGACTACTACACTAAGGGCATCAGCGGGCTCGGTTCCGGCGACGCGAAGGACCACGAGCTCGGCAAAAACAGCTTCGGCAATATCAACGACGACGACGACGACGACGACTTGTCCTCGTACTGCAACTCGGACATTCTCCTGAACTTGGACGACGACAAGTTCCAGTTCGACTCCAGCCTCGCGTTCGACATCATGCGCAACAGCAACTCCAAGCTCAGTTTCGACGACGACTTGAAGACCATCAGCCGGGACAACGTGCAGGACCCGGCCGTGGTGGAGCGGCTCGAGTGGCAGTCCATGCTTCTCTCCGTGCTCACGGGCGACGTCGTGCGCTCGGAGAAAACCAAGATCATTGACACGGTCAACCCGGCCGAGGGCCTGGAGCATTTCTTGCGCCTGCGCTATCGCGAAAACCTCTGGTTCGGCATCCGCGCCAAGATCTTCGGCCGGTCCGTGGACGACCAGAAGAAAATCACGCTCTACCGCCGGAACCACGTCGACCTGCTCATCGACGAGGTGCTCAACTACGAGATATCCTACGCTCCCGAGGCCCGGCTGCCGCGCGAGCAGATTGTCGATATCCTCGACCGCTACGAGCGTGCCTGCGAGTTGTGGCGAGCGCTTGAGGACATGAAGCACGACAAGCCCACGTGCCGAGACGACGCCTTCCAGGACCGCATCGATGCGCTCACCGCGTGGCTCTCCATAAGCGACGCCATCGAGCGCGAGTCCCGCTCGTTCAAGGCGTGGATCGGCAACGATGATTTGGACGTGACCCGTGGACGCACGGCTAGCCATTCCCAGGAAAAGTCCGAGTCTTTGTCCGAAAGCAAGACAAAGGTGAACAAGATCTTCGAGGAGGACAACAAGTCTTTGGCCGAGAGAATCGTCAAGGAGAAGGACGTCAGCATGGTCTTCAGAAAACGCATCTTTCTCACGCTCGCGCCCTGGATGGTCAAGTCGAAGAAAAACTACATTCGCTTGGGCACGATTTTCGAGACCTTGAAGTTGCCGGACTATGTGCGCAACCTCATCGACCTATGTCTTGTTCCCATGCGCTTGATCAAGGAAATCATCGAGAGCAGAATCAAGTACGCTATGAAGTTGCAGAACCCAACCTTGATGATGATCGACCAGATGATAGACGATTTCAAGTCCTACATTGCCATTGCCCTAGAGGTGAAAGGCGGCATCATCGAATACTGCAGATCGGACGTGGACAGAATCTGGATCATCAAGGACATGTTTGAGAAGGACATCGAAGTCTTCGACCAGGTCGTGCTTCAGTGTGTCCGCTACTACCTCCATTTGCTCAACAAGAAACTCAATGACAGTTCGAGGTCCCCTCACCTATTCAGAACCAACAAAGAACCGGAGGAGCTCGAGAGTGCGTGGAACTTCTTGAGAAACTTGGGCGAATACATTGACGGCGGGGGAAGCGTTGTGGCAGAGAGCGTCACATCAGTGACCTCGCGACTTTGCCACAAGTTGTTGGCGTACCTTCATCATCAAGTCAACAATCCGGCGACTCCCGTGAATGGCTCAGCGGACTTCACTCGCTGGTATACATCTACGACAGAGAACTTTGGTCAGCTTCGACGTAAATTGGCCCGATTCACAGGCCAGATCTCCCAAAAGTTCACGAATTCTTTTGTTTTCGAGGTCTACAAAACAGAAAACGGAAGCAAGTCAATTCTTGAGATCTTGAAGGACACAAACCATTTTCTTGTCAACACCAATACAGTCGAAGCGCAAGGAATGTATTTTTTTGCTAGTCCCGAACTAATCGACAACGAGGCCGAGATTTTGCGGATTATTAATGGGTCGTGTATTGGGTCGGATCCAGAAGGGGCTATCTCTGAGTTTGCTGAACTTGTAACTGCAGAGGAGCGAGATTACAGCGACTTCGCTAATTTTGAGAATCACCACAATCCGAAATATACCACGTCTTATGTGATCACTTACTGCCCGACCAAACCAATTGTGTGGAAGGGGGACATGATCAAACTCACAATGGACAACATGCCGATCTCCGACGTGAGACCCGGGCAAATGCTCTTAATCTCGAATCTCCCCCACTTCAGCCTTCATATCGCAAAAGACAGGTTTCTTGATGCTGTTTCTGATAATTCAGTGAACGAAACATTGAAAGCTGTGGAGCAAAGATCTTCATTGACGAAAGTACATCAGGAATTGACCAAAATTAACAAACTTTTTTTCCGCATGACATTGGCTGTTTTTGACTCTGTCTCTATTTTGACATTGAAATGCAGACAAATGTTTCCAGAAGGAGACTATCAAGAGCTAGTTAACTCATACTTTATTCATGCAAGAGACTTTGGCAAGAGTTCGGTCAAATGGTCTGACGCTTCAAAAAAATCCACTGTTATCATGCGTCTCATACGTTTAGCAATTGATTGGGTTAGTTTTATCTGTGACGATTGTGTCCCAACAGATCGGAAAACTTTCAGATGGTGTGTGCTAGCTTTGGAATTCGCGATGGAGATGACTAGAGGCTTCAACATCCTTGTCCTTGATGAAGATCAATTCTACAAGCTTAAACTAAAGGTTGCCCGTTGTATGTCTCTCTTGATTTCTCATTTCGATATCATGGGTGCAAGATCTAGCGAAGCAGAACAGCGGAGATTGCTCAAGTGGTACTCCCAAAGACAGGGAATCGAAAAATCTGCGGACGACGATGAAGTATTGTCGGCATACCAAGAGGATTTGATGGCTCAAATCTCTGAGATTGAGGCTTACCGATCTGATGTACAAGAAGAGTTGAACTCCATTGGTAGAGTCTTGGACGTCTCCGACCTGGAGTATCAGTTCGTGACGCTATTAGCCTCGTCGTTCTCGAGTGTTTCCATCAGATGGCAAAAAGGTAAATTTATTGGTGGTGGGTCTTTTGGACAGGTCTATGCAGCAGTCAATTTAGATACCGGTGGTGTCATGGCAGTTAAAGAGATTGTCTTCCATGATAGCCAGTCCTTGAAGCTCATTCCTTCGATCAAGGAGGAGATGACTGTGCTTGAAATGTTGAATCACCCAAATGTTGTCCAATACTTTGGTGTTGAAGTGCATCGCGACAAAGTATACATATTCATGGAGTTCTGTGAAGGAGGATCACTTTCAGGGCTTTTGGCGCATGGCCGTATTGAGGATGAAATGGTTATTCAAGTCTACACCTTACAGATGTTGGAAGGCTTGGCATACCTCCATCAATCAGGTGTTGTGCACCGAGACATTAAACCCGAAAACATCTTATTGGACCACAATGGTGTTATCAAGTTTGTTGACTTTGGGGCTGCTAAGGTAATTGCAGCTAGTGGAAAGACAAGGAACACTGCAAGTCATTCTTCAAGGACGGGCACTGGAGGCAACAATCCACAAAACTTGAACTCGATGACAGGCACGCCAATGTATATGTCGCCGGAGGTGATTACTGGTCAGAGCTCGTCGAAAAGCGGGGTTGTGGACATCTGGTCGCTAGGATGCTGCGTTCTTGAAATGGCCACTGGTAGGAGACCATGGGCCAACCTTGATAATGAGTGGGCAATCATGTATCACATCGCAGCAGGCCACAAGCCTCAGTTGCCCTCGCCGGACCAGCTCAGTGAGGAGGGAATTCGGTTTCTTTCCAGGTGTTTGGAACACGAACCAAGCAAGCGTCCGAGTTCAACGGAGCTTTTGAATGATCCATGGATTGTCCAAATCAGACAGGTTGCGTTTGGATCCAGCGACGCCGGAAACACCCCGCTGTCAGAGACCAAGGTTGAGCTCTCTTGAGCTCTTTGTTTCTACGGATGGGCTTTGTGTGGATGATCCAAAATAACGTCTCCGATGCAATACTATATACAAATCCTTAAAGAAATATCATATTTACTTGGCCATCTCGTTCAAGATCGTGCGGATTTCTGAAGAGCGGTCTCCTTTGATGTTCACCTCGCCTGTGAGCGTGTTCACACGCACGTGCTTCTTAGGCACGTTATTCTTAAAGAGCACACGGGACAACTCTTCGGCAAAAAGAGCCGCATTACCCTTGACACGTTTGATTTCAGTGGTGATCTTCGTGTTCTGTATTTTTTTGTACACCGGCCAGGTGCCTGTGGCGGATTGTGTGATGTGGTATTGGTTTTCCTTTTCAAATGTGTTGTTGGGAAGTTCGTCCACAGTGATGGCCGATAAGCTGGGCGCCTTGTAGACCGGTTTAGATACAGCGGGCATAGTCACTCTAAGGCCTTTTAAAAGGGTTGTGTTTGGTTTCATTTCGAATGTTTGTATATTTGGAGGGTCAATAGGATACTTTGGTCAAAGAACTTTCAAAACCTTTTTTCACGCTAGACGCACGTGCCCTGTCACGTGACTGCATGCACTGGTAGGAGCAGGAATGGGAACAGACTAGGGGCAAAAAGACTGACCCAGTTTCTGATTTTGAAAATCAGAAGTAGAAAGCAGAGTATCAAGAACCAAAGTGAGCAAATGTCGCAGAATTCCACAATTCGCTAGATGTGTATGATATACTTGCACAAACCAATGCGCTTCTTGGGTGCTGGTGATGGTGCTTCAACCCTGCGTATATTCGAAAGGAAAGTGATATACGTAATACAACTTCTCATGGGCCGATGCATACTATATTTAGCGGCCAAATTTGCTTTTAAAAAAGGCCGTGAAAAAGCAACTAAATAAGTTTGGATACCGAAGTATTTCGAAAGGTTCTTGCATAACATATAATCATGCGAAAAATTGACTTTGGCGCTTTTAATTATTGATGCAAGAATAAGTTGTTTTAAACAACATCCAACTCTCTTGTAGACTTGAAGGGAAGCATGAGCATCATTGATTGATATTTTGCGCTCGTTGGTAGCTCCAAAGCCCTACTCTAGTCGTGGCATATGAAACGTCAATTCTAATTATTGATCTATAGAAGCAGGTTCTCACTGACAGTGTACATTTGACAATATATATCATCGTACGCCAAGACTCTGATTAATATCATTCTTTAAGGAGTTTTCAAACAATTCTCTCGACAAAAATCGTTGATAGAATAACACTAGCTAGCTTCTGCCATAAGTTTATGCAGACGGAAAACGTTAAGAACTGTGGCCAAACAGCCCGCATGTTCCTTCTCAGTTTAAAAAATGTATTGTGTCATCGAGATAAACAGCCACAAACTTGTTTAGCACAGAGTCAAATATCTCACTCATGAGGTGTTGAAACATAGACGGAGCAAGGCATAAAGTGAAAGACATAATACGCCAAGCGTACTGTCCAAAGGGCGTGAAAACGCAAATTTTTATACACATCTTGTTCTGTTCCATCTTTCTTTCTCACAAGTATGACCGATGCGCCATATGGTGGGCCACAGGGATGATCTTCTTATCTTTGAGTAGCTGATTGATTTGTGGCGCCAACTCTTTGCTATCTGTAAAGAACGACGATACGTTGAGCGGTGCAGAGGTTATGAACCATTAATAAGTATAGTTTGTGCTGTAGCGCCCCTTTCAATGGGAAGCCCGCTGGTTATTCACTGGTCACATCCGCGTAGGTGATGATATCAAACAATCTGAGGTGCATTTTGTTGGCTTGTATTTTATGCAAAAAGTCTATGGCTCGTACATGGTGCAGCAGTAAGCCAAAGAATTGAGAAATAAGAAGACTATACAGTGAATTCCATGAACCCGAAAGTTCCACTTTGTTTCCAGCATGCTCGTCGTTTGTGTTGTCTCTCGAAGCCGGGGAGAAAAAGAGTCATGTAATTCCCAGCTTTAGTTTATGCACATGGCCGTGCCTAGGAGCTCGATCCAATTAACAGCATATCAACGTCGTGCGTGTGTTCGGTCTTCTTATTATTTTCCTGTTCACAATGGTTGGAAGAAAACAATTCCGTTAATTAACAACGGCTGCTTGAACCACGAAGTTGGCCTTTGCCGGCCAATCTTACCCCAGTGAATAAATGTATAATACCCCATCGCTGCTCGTTCAGTCAAGCACCAGCCCAGCGCTAAATGAAGACATTTGTAGTGGTCTCTATATGGTAATCTGGGGCGTTTAGATTTTGTATCGCAACTGTAGTGGGCTTCATGTTGGAGTAATTTATTGCAACGTCGGAGTGACTAAATACATCGTTGGAGTGATGCATTGCAACTTTGAAATGATTCATTACATCGCTGGAGTGACTTATGCATTGCTGGAGTGACTTATTACAACTCGGAGTGACCTCTTGCATCGCTGGAAACTTTTTGCATCGCTAGAAACTTACAGCACCACATCCATCGAAGACACGATGCGTTACCGAACCTGACCCTTCAGTCGCTGCACCTGGGCCTGGCCCGGTGAACAGACACCAGATTCTGCAGACGCTGTCGCCACATGCACCCATCGCACGTGTCCGCAACAAACAAGCTGCATGGCAAGCGGCCATACATACCATCACGGAGAAACCCAACCGTCCTCCGTTTTTCCCCTTCGTTTCGGGGTTCCGCCGGCCCAGTGAGCGCCACGGCCCGCTCCTTCGACATGCCCACGCGTGACCAGCTAAGGTGCACCCCCCGGCATCGGCTCGCCAGCACCCCCTCACGCCGCTAGCATCGCGGACTGGGAGCCCGCGTCCGCCACGGCGTCGTGGCTCTTCATGTGGCGCGTCAAGCCGCGGCGTGTGTCGAAGTCCTTGCCACACTGCTCGCACGTGAAGGTCCGGGTATGCGTGCGCATGTGCTTGGTGAGGTTGGTGCTCTCGCGGAACCGCTTGCCACAGCCCGGCCACGTGCACACGAGCGGGCGGGAGTCCGAGTGGATGCGCATGTGGATGGCCCGCGACGAGCGGGTGGCGAAGCAGCGGCCGCAGGTGGCGCAGGCATACGGCTTCTCGCCCAGGTGGATGCGCTGGTGCAGCTTGAGCAACGACGGCACGGCGAAACTGGCGCCGCAGGTGGCGCACACGCAGGGCCGGTGGCCCGTGTGCACGTGGATGTGGCGGAAGATCTTCTGGCGCTGCGTGAACGGCTTACCGTTATTGCGCTCGCAGCCGTGCCAGCAGCAGTGGTAGATCAGCTTGCCGCGGCCGATGTGGTCATCCTTCAAGTGGTCCTGGAGGGCGCCGGCGGACGCATGCGTGCGGTTGCACAAGATTGGCTCGCCGGCGGCGGACGTACCGGTCTGCCACTTGCACGTGTGCAGCGGGTCCGAGGGCTCGGGGGCCACGACGCGTTTGGGCGAGATGCGCATGTCCAGGATGCGGAGGGCGTGGCTGTTTTGCGGGCCGAGGCGGCCACCATCCAGCTTGTGCACGGGGTGCTTGTGGGTGCAGGCGACGTTTCCATGGAGTGTTTCCACGCAGCCGTGCTCCTCAATTCCAAGGTGCTGCCCCACATCCTGCAGCATATGGAGACATATGTGGTCGTTGCCAGGAAACCCGCCCAAACTTCTGGACCCAGCTGCCTCCGCCTTTTCCTGCAGCCTTCCCTCGGCCCTGTCTTCTTTTCTCTCCTGAGGCAGCAAGGTTATGGAGCTGGGCGTGAGGAGCGGCAGCGCCGCCGCAACCATGGCCCCGCCCGATTTGTGGCTGTTGAGATGGTCCAAGAACAGCTGCACGTCGCCGTCCATGAACCCACAGTCATCCCACTCGCACTCCAACTTGCCCGGCGCCGGGGCCCCGGGTCCAAGCAGCTCCTGCGCCAAGTGCGTGCCGAGCACGTGGTCCATAAGCGACTCGTTGTCCACCGGCTGAAGGCAGTTTTCCCACTGGCACAGAAACGTGTGGGGCGGGCGGACTGTATCCACATGCAGCGCCTCCTTCAGCCCGGCCGGCAGCTCGAGGTCCGCCATCTTCAAGCCGGGCTCCGGGAAGAGCTGCCGGAAGTTGTTGAACTGCACAAAGAAGTCGTAGTCCTGCTGGAGCTGGGCCTGCTGCTGTCCGTACGTGGGTCCTGGCTGGCCCTTGTGGTTGGGGAGCGGGAGCCGTGCATGGAAACACGACTGGTGCATGGAGTGGTCCCCATCAGCATGCAGGTGGAAGCCGGGGCCCACCGGCGCCCCTTCGCCGGGGTTTCTGGGCGGGTCCTGGTGGCAGTGGTGGGGAAAGTGGATGTGGAACTGCAGGCCGTCAATGGCCTGCTTGGTTTCTGATGGCGGCCTGGGGGCCGGCCCGCCGGCGGGGCCGGGACCGTCGTGTGTTTTGGCCGGCGGTGCATGTGACGCCAGGATTGGGGGGTGTATTGACAGGAGGGGTGGGTTAAGAGACATTTCCGGTGCAATCAGGGACGTTTCTGGTCCAATCAGTGGCATTTCTGGTGCAATCAGTGACAGGCCTGCTGCGCTGGATGCCCCTCCTGCCTTGCATGGCTCTCCCGCCAGGTCTGCCGGATTCCCCATCTTCTCCATCTTCGCCATCCTCTCCACCTCCCCAATCCTCTCCATCTCCCCAATCCTCTCCATCTCCCCCACCTTGAATGGCACCTCCCCCACCGTGTCTCCCACCACCCCGCCCGGCTGCTCAAGGTTCCGATGCACGTTCTGGATCAAGTCCTCGAAAATCGTGAGCCGCGGCCGCTGCCACTCACAGAGGCTGTTGTCGTGATGGCCTGTTTCGCCACACCCCGAGTCCACACACATGTCCGCAACGGGCTCCGCCTCACAGCTCTCGTCTGAACAGCACTCCGTGGGGTGCAGCCCCAGGTCGGCATTCCCGATCCCCGCGCCGTCGCATGCGTAGTAGTAGCAGTCGTCGAGCTCATCGCAGAATATGTCGTCGCATAGATCAAAGCTTTTCTCGAGCTCCTTGCACTCTAGCTCCGGGAGCACGGTTCCATGCTGTTGGTCGTCACGTGGCCCGCCGCCTGCCGCGGCCGGGAGAGCATGTTCGCCGTGGTCGTGATTGTGGATGTGCCCGTGGATGTGCACGTGGTCTAGATGCTGGTGCACATGGCCATGCACAAACCCGTGGGTCAACACGTGGCCCGAGGCGTCGCGTTGCTGCGAGGGGAGCAGAAACCCCAACTTCTTGGACATCTGCCCGATATATTATAAAACGTGAAAAGTACGTCGAATAGACACGCCTCTGTAAACGGCACTGGGCGCCAAAGAAGCCAGCTGGATGTCAGATACAGGCCGGAGGCTGGGCAGAGGGCTTGGCCGATTGTAGTTTTTTCGGGCCTGGCTGCTCAGATGATTCACACACTAGCGCGGAGTCGAGAAAAACAGAAGACTGCGTTGGGATCCCCAGAACTCTTTTCCATTGGGGGGAGCCGTAGCTTAATTCAACCATGGTGGTTATGCCGGGGAACGTCACCGGGCGCTGTGTGCAGGCCCGGCCTTCATCCCGCCCGCAGCCGGACGACCTACGCCGGGGGATTTGTTTTTTTTATTTTCTTTTGTTTGCTGGATGAAAGACAGCGGCACGGCAGCCGGTGCCGGAATTCAGAATGGGCCCCCGCATGCTGCCAGACACGGCTCCATATGCACCAGACGTCCCTGGCCTTTGGCCTGTATGCGCATACGTGCTCATCGGTAGTGCACAGAGCGCTGGACCTGCTTCCAGTAGAAGGCTGAGACTTATTAGCTGTCTGACGTTTGGAGCGGGTATGCCAGCCGTTTCGAATATGGCCCTAATTTTTCGGCCCATACTGCCACCCTGGGCCTCTTTTGGTGCGAGGCTTCGGTGCGGCGGTTTCCTCTCCAATGTTCCAGAAACGCATGGTCCCGTCAAACCGGCCATAGCTAGCGCAGTGGCAATGCTTCCACCTAAACCCTGGCTTTACAATTTCTACGCATGGGCCAGACTTTGCCTAAGTTCTTTTGTAGACACAGGAAACCAATCAAGACCCCGGACTGGGTGTGCCACTCCTGGCCGAGTTGTGGTGTTGATGGCTGTTCCTTCAGACGTAGCCTGGTCTTTCGCACTGCCTTGCGGGTCGATGGTGCACCCAATCCACAGCCTGCCGCGAATTATGGAATTGGCCATGAATTGAAGACGGAAAAATAACACGTCTCCCCAGACCCCTTCCAAAGAACACGGTACTGGGCAGTGAAGCACGGCCGAGGCATCAAACAGGGCGTTGTTTTTCCATCCACCACTCGTATTTCTCACACCCGAAACCCCCCTTTGCGATATCCGTCCCTGGCAGCCAGCAAAATCGTTTATATTGAACTTTTCTAAATGCATATCGACGCGTTTGTCTTTGCTTCGTGAGCCCGACTCCAGTCCAGCGGCATCGCCGAAGACCGTGATCATATAGTCCCATGCTCAAGCTCAGTTCTTCAATTCCTGGATCTCATTCTCATCAGCGACAAGACCCATCACCACCAAGTACATGTTCAAGTTGTTCATCATGCTCTGCTTCTTGTACAAGTTCGCCACGTCGCTGTTGTCGATGGCCTTTGCTCTGCTCATGACCCCGAAAATCTCGTCCTTCACCTCCTCCACGATGATCCGCTGGTGACTCAATTTCCCGCCCAATGATAGCGTGGCCAAGAACTGCCACACGTAGTCGTCCTCCATGTCGCCGTGCGACGGAGGGAAAATGGCGGCGATGCGCGATTCCAAAGCGGTGAAAAGCTCGTCGTAGCAGCTGGACCACTCGGATAAGTCGGTGGCCGAAATGGACCCTTCGCCCTTCATCAACTCGGCTCTGGACAATAATGTTGTGATCACAGACAAGCCGATCTTGGTGGTGGAGACGAACGACACGACGTTGTGCTGCGCCAAAATCAGGAGCAAGCTCAAGATTTCGTTGAACCTGAAGTCCTGCACGGCGTTCATCAACACTTTGCAGAACGTCAAGGTGTATATATCCACCAATTTGGAGATTTCCACGGGGAGCTTCTTGCTTTCGTATGTGGTGTAGGAGCCATCCTTGATCACCCTCAAGTTCTCCAAATTGGACATGACCAAGGTGATGACCGTCAAGATCTGGTCTCGGGACAAGAACTTAAAAAGACGGGGCAACACCTTCAAAGCCTTGGGGTAGTTGAGGCATTGCACGAAGGGGTTGACGTAGGACTCGTCGTCGCCCGAGGACGATGGCTGGTCCAACACGTGCATGGAGTCCCAGAGCTTGCTTGTGTCGATTCCCGGCGAGGTTCTCGACTCGCTCTCGATCGACATCAAGTTGTTGATGATCTCCTCGAGAATGCCCATGATATCCTTTTTACTGTATTTCTTGATGGGCTTCGAAGGCGCGGCGATCGAGGGGGACCTGGTCTTGTTCTGCACGGGAGGCACGACGTCACCGTCGTCGTCCTCCTGGTCCTTGGCCTTTTGCGCGGCCTTGCTGAGAATCACCAACTGCTGCCTGGGCTTTTTGCCTGAGCCGACAGAGATTTTGCCAAGCACGCCTTCGCGAGCGCTGTGGGTGGATTTCTGCCTCTCCTTGGCCACGGACACGGCCTTCTGAACCTGCTGCTGCATTCTCTGCAACGCGACGTCCGCGCGCTTGAAGCGGCCGCCCAAGCGGTGGCCGCTCTGGTCCAAGTAGGCCTGGGCAATGGAGTTGGGCTGCTGCGTCAGCGGGGCGCCGAGCGCGTTGGGCGCGGCCTTCGGGTGGATCACCTTGTAGACCTGGGCGTAGAAGTCCTCGTTGTATGGGTCTTCCGTGACGATCTGCGAGAGCTGGAACCGCGTGACAAAGTCCTTGTCCTTGGGGTTCATGACCCCCGAGTACTTCATGATCTTGGCCACCTTGTCCTGGCGTCTGGCCAAGCGCTGCTGCTCCTCAGGCAGCAAGTCAGGCGCCTGTGTGTGGGCCTGCGGCGAGAAGTGAGACTGCGGAGATTGCGCATGCGCGGGCAGCTTGAGCTGCTGGGCCTGGTGGGCCTGCTGGGCCGGGTGAACATTCTGCAGTGCGTTTTGCTGCTGGGCTTGTTGCTGTTTGACCCGCTGCTGCTGCTGCTGTTGGTGCGCGTCCCGCGGGGCGGTGGCTTGTGCCTGGGAGCCCAACACGGGGAACTGCGACATGTCGGACCTGGCCGCGGGCTTGGGCCCCAGGCCCGGGTTGCCGTTCTTTGCGGGCACGGCAGCCGGCACCGCAGGGCGCTCGTTCACCGGGCCGGCGGCATCCGCAGGGCGCGCGGCAGCATGGCCACCCGAGCCCATGGCCGGGGGCATGGGCATGCCGGGGATCCCCATGGGCGGCACGCCTGGCTGGCCCATGGGCGGCGGGTACGCAGGCTGCATAGGCATGAACTGGCCCGGGTACGGCATTCCGTACGCGCCCGCGGGCGGCATGTAGCCCTGCGGCATCATGTAGCCGCCGTAGCCGGCCGGCATGGCCGCGTAGAACGGCTGCTGGGGGGCCGTGGGCGGGCGGTTCTGCACGCCGTCGATGGCGGTCAACTGGGCCTCGATTTCCTGCAAGCTCAAGACCTTGCGGTCGTCGCGGGCCGCGGCAGGCCCGCCCGGCGCCGCGGCGGGTGCGGGCGCGGCGGCCGGATCCGGCGTGTTGTCGCCCCACAAGTCCTTCATGAAGTCGTCGTCGTTGGCGGCAGCGGCACGTGCAAACGACATGTCGGGCCGTGTTTGTGCCGCCGAGACGGGCGCGCGGCCCGCGGCCAGGCCGTGGAAGTCGAAGTTGCGGCCGACCTCGGCTACGCCGAAAGTCTCGGAGTTCAAAACATCGTCCTCCTCAGGGTCGCCGAGGCCCTCGTAAGTGTCCTGGAAATCGTAGGATTTTGCGTCTGCGGCGGCGGCGTGGGGGGCCGGGCGTGGGGGCGCGGAGCTGTCGAAACCGAAAAACGACATTGGCGGGGCGGACACGGCGTTTTGGCGTGGGTTAGTGGTGGTCTGGAGAGCGCCTATGGGGTAGTAGGGGGAGTTTTGCGGTGCTCTTTTTTCTGGCGCCGCCCGACGAAGGTGTGGGCCGCGCACGACCGGTGCGCTCGCCTGGGGCCGCTGCTAATTCGGGGCCGCTGCTAGTTCGGGGCCGCTGCTAGTTCGGGGCCGCTGCTAGTTCGGGGCGACGCTGCCGTGGGGGTATGAAATTTTGCAGCATGCTAGTTTTTGTTTTGGTTTTGGGTTTTTGTTTTTTGTTTTGGTTTTGGGTTTTTGTTTTTTGTTTTTTTTTTTTCAGTTTGCTGGAGCTGGTGGAGAGCAGATCGCTGGAGGTACGCTCTAGGTTCTTTGGCGTAGTTCGCGGCTTGTTACTGCGTTGTTTAATTTGTAGTGCAGTGGAGCCGCGCTGCGCAGTGCACGAAGATTCGATAATTTGCAGTCTATGCTTGTCGGATTTGCAGTCTACGTTTGTCGAAGTTGCAGAGACGAGATCCTCGAGTTGAGCACGTGCTGATACTTGATATTTCCCCGTCCACAGATGCGTGTCTTTTTGTAGTCATTGATGCTTCGTAAATACGGGCTCATTCTTTATTCTGCGGCTTCCGGTGCCTGGCTTTCGCACCAAATTAGCTAGCACATGTTTCCAAGGCTCGTCAGCAGGCTGTGTGTACAAGGTGAGCTTATAAAGTGAGCTTACAAGGTGAGCTTACAGTGTTTGCAAGCTATGTTTACAAGCTGTGTATAAAACATGATTTGTTGTTTCCCAGACCTATCATCATGCAGTAGTGTTTTGAGTCACGCATGCTTCTGCGTTATTCAATACATTTTTATCGGAACGCGCTGCTTGTCTGATACAGGTTTGCAACTTGGTTGGCATCTTCTTTCAATCACCATTCGATACTTCGGTAATTGACTGAGGTTCTGGGACAAATTTCTATGCTCTATGTGTTTTCAAATTGGTTTCTCTTGCAGCTCGTATGAACGCTAGTTCATCCTCTCAATTCCTAGCATGCCATAGTACTCAATGTCTGATTCAAGTGGAAATTGTAGTAGCTTTCTGTCCACCAATGAGTTTTTGGCTCGGCATCCTCAGTTTTTCTTAATCAACGTAGGCCTTTTTATAATTTCTGTAGCACAGGTCGTATTCACTATTTTTGCTCATGTCTTAAATACACATACCATCAATTTATAATCGGGCGCATAACAATGCGCACTCTTGGTACCTGCTTTTTAACATACTTCCTCTTCTTCGCCGAGACATGTCACAAGTGCTTCCACACCATTTCTGCTTCACAAGATTATGTTTTCCAAATTCATTAACAATCTTCTTATCCCAGTTGTGCACAATGTCATAAAATACTTGTTTTTCTGATACCAGGGTGGAATCATTTGCGAGCCCGCGTATGCGTGATGGTTAATTTATTATCTGGTATCTAAAAAACAAATACCAATTTTGCAATTCTTGTCCGTACAAACCCAATTCTGTCTAGCTCTATGTAATCGGGATGTTTACCAGAACACTCAGAAAAGCACCATTGACGCCCCGTGTTCATACATATTGTGCTGCTACCTGATTGATTGACCTACTCAGTCGCAACTTATTCAACTGAAACCTAACCAGCTGTAACATTTTTGCCTCTTACTTTTTTAAATAACAATCCTCGTTTTATATGGAACACCATTGAAGTCTTGAAAATCCTTGGCATTTTTCTAAATCGATTCATACTCACAGCTAGCCACAGAGCTCATCACTGGGTGAATTGTTGTCACTTCACCGATTCTACAACAGATGCTGATGACTACCACTCCAGTAATGGGAATCGTCTTTTTTGAGCAAACGTTGTAAGACTCGGCACTACCATTTGGACGCCGGTCACAATAATGTGCTTTTGCACGATATATGGTTCCTGCTTCCTCGGTGTTCGCAAGGTCACGGTATATCAATCTTCCAGTGGTTTTCCAAAGCATTTTATTCTTCATAATCAGCCTTATTTTGTTGTATGCCCTTTGAGTTTTTAAAAGCATGTCTGATACTTCTCTCACTTGACATTGTTGCATGTCGGTGGATATCGATATTTAATGTTTTCTCTATTCACAAAATTTCCAGTGATTCTCAATTCGATAGAGATTTCTTTCTTTTTGCTGTAAAATCTTATCATAGCAACAAACTATTATCCGCAGGACACTCTCAAATCATTCCAATTGAACAAGCCCTGGGAGACTAAAAAGTGTGGAAATATGGATTCCTTTGCGAATATTTGGCTATTTTCCTTTCTCATCTATTTATTTCATGCTATTTGGAGAAGTCTTGGGTCATGACAGTGTGTTTTCCAATAATAGATTTCCTGAGAATACATCACTCTGGATCCCACTGGGATATATTTCAAAACATGAATTTGCTTCTCAAGGCTGAGACCGGTGTTCACATACATATGGGGATTGATCTGTCAGATGGCGTGCGCCGATATGAAAACGAACAAGTTTTTGTGTTTCTCCATTTCTTCACTTTGTTTTCTGATTTTCCGATTGTGCTTCCGAGCAAACTCAATTTTCGCATCCCTTAACAGTTGCTTTGATACGTAGTAGGCCAGTTCAACATTTTGTGTCTTCCGGAGGGAATGGACCCTTGCGAGATTATACTGAAAGTTGGAAGCATATTATAAAAACAAATGCTACATCATTTTCTTAGAAGTGATCTTATTTTAGCTTTAGAATTCTGGGGGTGATTTGCGCTATATTCAAATGTCAATAAAAAAGGTAGAATTGAGTAGTCTACTTATTGGCGAGAGTTCCATGTTGTCTCATCACAAAATGTGATGATCTGATCTATATGGCTAGCTACACAGACCAAATTAAGGCTGTTTCAATTAGAATTTTCTTTCACTTACGACATATCATAGTGGATAGATTATTATGGTGCGGCGCGACGTTTCGCTGAGGCAAGCTATGCTTTTAGTGTTTATTCATATTGAGTATTTTTTCAACTAGCGGTTGAGATAAATTTGAGACAGAAAAATTATTCTACTTCCCAATTTTGGGCTGTATTCTATTGTTTAGCACATCTTTTCAAAGCAATGAAGTTATGGAGAAAAGAATCAGCATAAAACTGTGGATTCATTGCACACAATTTTGGATGTAATTCTGAGTTGATGATTTCAATGGTGGAATCTTCTAGTGTTACTATATCAAAATGACTTCATATTATCAAAAAAAAAGACTTGTGAAAATTGTACGACAAGCGAAGCGCTTTTGTTTCAACCTAAAACCCATTGGTCAAAATTGCTCAATGGTGTGACAGGTTCTATCTTTATCCAATCTTCTGAACATTTTAGCCAACTTTTTTTTTTTCATATAAATCACCCTTCTTCAATTACTTATAATTTTTTTGGCTCGATAGTATGTATTGTTTTCAAGTAAATCGTTTTTGTTAGCTCAACATAACTTGCATTGTCTTAGTACATTGACTATGTCCTTAATAAACCTCACTTCCAACCTACAGTAGACCCAAAACTCTTGGGAGATGAAGCAAAATTGAGATTGAAAAATTCCGGTAATGATAAATCTGATGTGTAAATTATTCAATCCTTTTTGGTTGCCGCGATTTAATTAATTAGGCGACAAAACTTTTTTCAGTTTAGCACACTCGTGTGAAAAAGTAAGATTTATAGCAGGTGCTTTGATCCCAAAAAAACTTGATACCTAGGCTAAGCTTGGAATTGGTGATCTCGCCTTCATGTTCTTCATTGCACCTATTCCGCGATCATAGATGCTATCTAGGATTTGAACTTGCAGACTAGTGAAGCTTCTAAATCTAATGCAAGATTCCGGGCCCCCATAACTGAATAAATTGAGCCTTTAGCTTCATTCGGCTTCAGAGTGGTTAAGAAAAGAAAATTGCTCCAGCAAGAATGATTTTAAAGCTTATAAATACTTTGACTGTAACTATATTATACTTTTCGAGTGCATAGTCCTGCCAGTGTTCCATGATCTCAGGAAAGTAACCTTCAAAGCATTCACTGACAAAGACATTGTACCACGAAAACATTTCTATTTACATGGAGCTATCCCATAAACGCCACAAACATTTTCATCATGGGCAACTTTCAGTACTCTCAATTCACATTCCGACTTTCGCTGATTTGCTTGATTTCTATAAAAGCACCTCCTATAGTCTTTGTCTTGACACATCACTTGTTCAGCTTTCACAAATGAGCTCAAAATCATCAGACACGATATATGATATCGAATTAGTCCAGATATGTCGGTCGTTAAAAAGTGAGAACGGAACGCGGAGGTCCATAAGCAATGTTCTTATCATTCTCCATTTTGAGGTCATACTCGCTTGAAGGTTTGCTCTTTCTCTTTCACGGTACGCTTTGAAAAGAGCCAATTCACTTGCACGTATTATATTTGCTATCAAACTTCAAACCAAAAACATTGTTCAATATCAGACTTTGAACTGCTATTCTCAGGACCCTCAATATTAGATCATCAGTTGAGTGGAAGATTTCAGCAAACAGTAGTAAGACTCTAGAGCTTTTCAACAAATTGGTCTTCTTGAACAAACACAATCAACGACGTTTGACTTCTTACCAACTTGATCATATTATGTAGCTCAATCAGTCTATATGAATGTTAAAAAGGGAACTGTTCTAAAGACTTAAAGATAAGCTTCTTGCTCAAAACTAAACACCCGAGCCCTTTTGCCCGTCACTAGAAGAATTCGCAATACTCTTTGCACGGAAATCTCCAAAATCAGACGATCAGAAAATGAAAAAAAAAGTCAATGCAGCAAGGCTTCTTTTTAAATCTGCAGCGTCTTGGGGTTGCACCTCACTGCCTGCCATGGTAATACACGAGCTCTTGAGAGTGAATTAAGAAGTTGATTAGGAACATGCCGAGTCTATACAAACGCCTCTTTATATACAATGGCCATCAGTCGATCAGGATTTCTGCCCAGTATTCGGGCCCGTCTCGACGCTTGTGTCGGATAGTTCCCTTCATGATAACGCTCTCATTTCTCCACAAGCCGGGCCTTCACTGAGTATCCCCGCGGCGAAATATTTACAACTTTCTAGAGGAAGGTCTGGAGCGTGCTCGAGAGCTTGACGTGCATTTCATCCCACTCACCTTCCTGATCACTGAGCACGGTGATGGCACCGCCAGCGCCTATGCGCCATATGTTTTCAGTAGGGGAGTTCTCTTTGTCTGTCTTGTAGTTGACAATAGAGCGGATGGTCACCGACCAGTCTGCGTCGTCGGTGATGGACCAGTAGCCCGCCACGCCGGAATAAAGGCCTCTGCGGCCGCCCGCCATCATGGTGGGTTGAAGACTCTCGATGTCTTGAAGAAGCTCAATGGATCTCTTCTTGGGGGCGCCCGTCATCGAGCCAGGAGGGAGCGACAGCCGGAGAATGTCCACGCCCTTATGGCCGTCTTCCTTGATGTGGCCGCGGATCACGCTGACCATCTGGTACACGGTCTTGTACTCCTCGACGGCCATCAAGGCGTCCACGGTGACGTCGTCTGTGAACAGCTGCAAGTCGTGGCGAATCAAGTCGACGATCATGAGGTTCTCGCCCATTTCCTTGGGCGTGCGCAAGATGGCCGTGGCGTCGTCGAGCGTCACGGCGTCGGTGTTTTTCACGGTGCCCTTGATGGGCCTCAACTCGGCGATTTTCTTGCCGGGCGCCTGGGCACTGTCGCCCCAGGACAAGAACCGCTCCGGCGACGACGAGATCAACACGCAGTCGTCAAAGTCCATGAAGCTCGAGTAGGGCGACGGGTTCTTGTGCACGGCCAACACCTTGTAGATGCTCCACGGGTCCAAGTACAGGGGGAGCCGGATCTTCAGCTGGGTGGTGAGGCAGAGTTCGTACGAGTCGCCCGAGTGCAAGTACTCCTGGCAAAGGTCGAACTGCCTGTTGTAGACTTCGCGGGACGGGAACTCGTACTGGATGTGCTGGTCCTCCGCGCGACACAAGGCCTTCACGCTCGTGGGGACCACGGCCGCGTCGATGCGGAGGTCCGGCGGGCTGCATATCGTGGCAAGGAGCTCCTCGCAGGCGGCGGCGTCGTTTTCCCGAATGGAGACGAGGAACCAGCTCTGGCAGATGCGGTCGTACAAAATGAAGCGCTCCACAAACACAAGCTTGGTGTCGGGCGCACTGCCGCGGCAGGGCAGCGCCATTTTGGCCGTGTCCACGTGCTGGCCTTCCTCGTAGGACAACACGCCCATGTAGCCGCCCCAGAAGGGGAACGGGCGCGAGTGCACGTGCCCGATGCGGGCCTCGAGCGCCTGCCTCGAGACGTAGCGGGCCGCCATGCGCGACGCGAGGAACTGCCACATGGACGCGACCGGCTCGGTGTGCGCGGAGCCCGGGGTCTTGAACCGCAGCGTGGTCACGCAGTGCGGCGTCTCCACGGAGTGCGAGAGCACCTCGCTGAGGCCCGCCAAGGGGAGCCCGATGATGGACCACTCGCCCGGGTCGGCCGCGGAGTTGAGGAACGTGAAGTCCACGCCGGCCCGCGCCAAGTGCTCGCACACGTCGATGGGCATCGTGCCCGGGTGCGCCGGCCTGAACTGCCGGGCAAACACCGCGGGCGCGCCGCGGCACGCAAACGTCCCGCCCGGAACAAGGCACGCGTCTTGCACCGACCGCCGGCGGACCATGTCCTCGCAGACACGGGCGAACGACGCGTCGCGCTGCCGCGCGCGCAAGCCCGCGCGGCGTTCCCGGTTGTAGTCGGCGGCAATGCGGTCGAAGTTGCGCACAAGCTGGTCGCCGCGGCTCGAGCAGATGGACTCGGGGTGGTATTGCACGCCGTACAACGGGAGCGCCGCGTGGCGGCCGGCCATCAAGATGCGGCGCGGCGCGCCGTCGGCGCCGGCGTCGGCGCCGGTCTCCTGGCATGTCGCAAGCGGCACAATCGCAGCATTGAGCCCGGCCATTTCCACGTGCAACGAGTGGTAGCGCACGCTGGCAAACGGCTCGAGGTCCTCCGGCGCGGCGCCGAAAAGCGCGCTGGCCACGGGCGTGATGGCGTACACCTGGCCGTGCTTGATGGACTGCAACCGCAGCACCTTGTTGCCGAACTCGAGGCACAAGCTCTGGAACCCAAGACACACGCCTAGCGTGGGCACGCACAGCGGCGGGTCCCGCGCAAAGCGGCGGAAAAGCCAGCCCACGATGCCCACGTCCTCGGGCGTGTGCGGGTGGCCCGGGCCGGGGCCCACGACTATGTAGTCGAAGAACCGGAGCCACGTCTGGAACGCATGCTCGTATTCCCGCGGCGCAAACGTGTCGTTGAAGATGGTCACCACCTGCCTGCCGGCGTTGGCCTCGAGGAGCCGGCGCAAGTTGTGCGAGAACGAGTCGTACGAGTCGATGAGAAGAATCATGCCCGCGGCGGGGGGCTCGTTGGGGCACCGGGACATCTGGGGTGCAAGACGCGAGTGGTTGGAGGGGCGCTTTTTTTTTGCCGTTGGCTTTGGGCTTAGCCGGCTGGTCGCGCACTGCGCGGGCCGCGCATACACGAGACGCACGCGGGGCCGGGCAAACGGTCTCTCCATGTACGCTGGAGGCGCGGCGGCGCTCGACACCAGCAGGCGTGGGGCCAGCGAAGAAGACGGTGGCGGGCGGTGGAGGCCTGTTTGTGTGCTTGTGCAAGCTGCCGGTGCTGCACGGGTGGTCACGTGCCGGGCGCTTTAAGCGGCCCGGAAATTGCATACCGGCTAGGACCGTTCGCCTGCTCAGTGCAATGCTGGTGCGTGGACTGGTTGCCATGGCCAGCACGTTGATTGAACCTGACGGCACGTTGGCTGAACCCGAGGCCTCTTTCCGAAAACTCCCCTGCCGCTCCGGGCGATTCCTGCACGGCACATGCACGTGACGGGACGTGTCGTGGAAGCTGCGCAGAGGCCTGGATGCGCAGCCATGGAGAGGCCTGGATGTGATTTATGTTTCGTTTGCACAGAGGCCCCAGACAAATGAATTATTGCCCAGACAAATCAGTTACTGCCCAGACAAATTAATTGCGGCCCAGACAAATCGGTTACTGCCCAGACAAATTAATTGCGGCCCAGACAAATTAATTGCGGCCCAGACAAACCAATTACTGCCCAGACAAATCAATTACTGCCCCGACAAATCAATTGCTGCCCAGACAAATCAATTA